CAGCTTTGTTTGCCAGGTATGTGTACACATACGAGGAATGACACAGGATTGCACATTGCTCACGATATGCTTACTTATACAATAATACAATAATCACACACACATAAAATCACACACAGAGTATAGAGAACACATATATACACATTATAAACAAAAACAATACAGACAGATTGAGACAATAGTGAAATGAGCAGAATGCAAAGAATGCAGGTTATTATCATTATTATGTATAAAAAGAGATGTGAGCATAGTGGAAATGATGCGGGAATGTATAAGTATTATGTGCAGGTGTTATGAAGTTGAGGTAGGTGGATTTGGTATACAGTATCTACAATATGACAATATAACAGTATGAAGAGCTCTGAAATAGAGAATTGTGAATAAATAATAAGTGTTAGCCAGCTGTTCAGCTGTTCATCAGAGTGATGGCTTGTGGGAAGAAACTGTTCCTGAGTCTGTTGGTTTTGGCGTACAGTGCTCTGTAGCACCTACCAGAGGGGAGAAGCTGGAACAGGTTGTGTCCGGGGTGAGATGGATCTGCAGTGATGTTTCCTGGCCGTTTCCCGACTCTAGAAATGTATAAGTCCTGAATGGAGGGCAGGTTGGCACCGATGATCTTTTCTGCAGTCCTGACTGTCCGTTGTAGTCTGCTCCTGTCCTTTTTGGTGGCAGATCCAAACCAGACAGTGATGGAGGTGCAGAGAACAGACTGAATGATGGCTGTGTAGAACTGGTTCAGTAGCTCCTTAGGCAGGTTGAGCTTCCTGAGCTGACGCAGGAAGTACATCCTCTGCTGGGCCTTCTTGATGATAGTGTCAGTGTTGGGCTCCCACTTTAGGTCCTGGGATATAGTGGATCCCAAAAACCCGAAGGATTCCATAGCATACACAGGGCTGTTGAGTATGGTGATGGGGGGCAGAGTGGGGGGTCCTCCTCCTGAAGTCCACGATCATCTCCACAGTTTTGAGCGTGTTAAGCTCCAGGTTCTGACCGCACCAGAGAGCCAGCTGATCAACCTCCCGTCTGTAGGCCAACTCATCACCGTCCCGTATGAGGCCGTTGACCGTTGTGTCGTCAGCGAACTTCAGGAGTTTGACAGATGGGTCTCAGTGGTGCAATCGTTGGTGTAGAGGGAGAAGAGCACACACTCCTGGGGGGCGCCAGCGCTAATTAGAGCTGACCGCTATGGGATTTTCAAGTCCGATATAGATTTCGATATTTGAGGATTTTAAAATCTGATTGCCAACATATAGGCCGATATTCTTTTTTCCCATTATTTTAAGAAAAGCATAACATAAACAAATTTTATCCCTAATATTTGTTATGTTGAGACCTCACCAAGATACCATGACAAAATGCAGTTTAAAAATAAACTTGTATTGTTAGAAATAGTAGAATGGACAACAAAATCTGTTTTTTTACAATTTACAAAGAGAACACAAAATACAGAAATTAACACCTCTCAACACATACTCTCAGTGTGTTGTGTTGTAGTACTACTACTAAAAATAATATCATTTATCATCTCTCATGTCATTGCTATCATAATAATGATAAACAGGACTCTCCTACATAGGCAAATAATTATATACAGTATATTATTTGTAATGCAGTAGTTATTGCCTTACATATAATGCTCTTGAATTAATCTAATACTACTTAACTGTCTACAACGAGGACCTGCAACTGTGTGTTAGATACTTGTTCAGCTCACATTTATTAAGTTTCCCTCTGGTTTAATCATTTCTGACACGCCGACTGCAACTACAGACACTACAGTGTAATTGCTCTTTAATGTTAAACTACTCCACTGATAAACACGGCATTAGCTTTGTGGCTAATTTAGCAATAGGCAGCATTATCAGTTGGCGATGTTAGAAACTATTTACAAGTAATAAATTAGAGAGAAATGAGAGGACTGGTTGCTAGAACTGCCGAACTGTTTCAAAAATAAATCTACAGTCATGTCTGTCAGAAACGTAGCCTCCAACGCCTTTGGACCGTAACTAACCGTACCCTAATTAAACACACTGGTGTGAGCCTGGAGAGGGAAGTGAAAAACGTGAGGGTTTGGGTCAGGTCTTCAAAGAGGAAAAGGGATAAGGGGTATTTTTATTAATATTAAAGTCATATAATTGACGTAACAAAAGACCAACTCACCGGGAACACTGAGTGTGAGAGCTATCAGGAGCTACTCACCGTAGCTCTGGCAGAGCCGGCTCTGAGCTCCGTAGACTGCGGTCAGCTGGTGTTTTGTTCTGTGGTGCTGCAGTGTTGTTAACAGCGGAGCTGCAGCGCACCCTCTGGTGGGCAAACTATGCATGGCCTCTCGCCTTGTTATATTTCTGACCTTTTAGTCCCATACGCACCAGCACGTACCTTGAGATCCTCGGGCAGAGGTCTGTTGTCTGTTCCAGAGTCTCGACTGAAAACTAAAGGGGACAGAGCGTTTGCTGTCAGGGCCCCGAGGCTCTGGAACAGCCTGCCCGAGGAAATTAGGTCGGCTGAGTCGGTGAATTCTTTTAAGTCCCTTCTTAAAACATACTTTTATACTCTTTTTTGACTTTATTTTATCCCTTTTATTTTATTCTATTTTACTAATTTTATATTAATTTTTCATGCTCTTATCTTGTTTTTTTGTATTATTCTTTACACTTGTTAAAGCACTTTGTAACTTGTTTTTGAAAAGTGCTCTACAAATAAGGATTATTATTATTATGCAACACTCATGAACTGAGGGAAAGATCCGACTCTCTGTTTCTCTTTTTGGTCATATCGGCTTGTTATAAACGCGGATGCAGGTGCATCTGCAAGTAGCTTATATTGGCCGATAATATCTGCTAAACAATAAATCGGTCGGGCTCTAGTGCTAATAGTCCGGGTGCTGGATGTGATGTTCCCCAGCCTCACCTGCTGACTCCTGTCAGTGAGGAGGTTTGTGATCCACTGACAGAGGAGGCTGGCACCGTGAGCAGGGTAACTTTGGTGCGGAGGATGTCTGGGTTTTTTGGGGACCGGGATGACTGTGGAGCGTTTGAAGCAGGAGGGAACTTCACACAGCTCCAGTGATCTGTTAAAGATCTGTGTGAAGATGGGGGCCAGCTGGTCTGCACAGATTTTCAGGCAGGATGGAGACACACCGTCGGGGCCAGGAGCCTTCCTGATCTTCTGCCTCTGGAAGAGATGGCTCACGTCCTCTTCTCAGATCTTGAGTGCAGGTGAGGGGTCAGAGAGGGGGGGTGACAGTGTGGCAGTGGGGGAAGGTGACACTGCAGGTAACCTACAGTAAAAAACAGTCAACTCATCAGCCAGTTGTTGAGTACCAGCAGTGTAGTTTGTGAGTGTCTGCAGGCCTCTCAACACTGACACAGGGTCGCTGGCTGTGAAGCTGTTTTCTAGCTTTTCGGCGTAGCTCCTCTTAGCTGCTTTGATCTCTTTAGTCAGTGTGTTCCAGGCCTGGTTATACAGGACTCTGTCCCTCTGTCCCTCCTCTAAGGTCTGACGAAGCTGCCTGAGTTTTGCTGTGAACCAGGGTTTTTGGTTGTTGTATGGGCAGAAGGTTTTAGTCTGCACACCCATGTCCTTACAAAAACTGTAAGTGTAAAGCCTAGTTCACACTACATGATTTTTAGCCCGATTTGCCACTTGGCAAGCTTGGTGACCGTCAGTCTGTGATCGGGGGTAAATCAGCGGTCGGCAGTCATTATGTGTGAACTACACAATGACACATCAAAACAGCCCCCCGACACATTTCTGACACATCGCCGACGTCTGCCAGATATCTAGCATGCCAAATATCTGGAAGAGTCGGCCGACTCGACATCCACTTTCAGCCAGTGGGAGCAGGCAGCTGGCAGAGCTGGCAGCTACTTTTTCACCTCAAAACACTTTACTCCCCTCCAGCTCTCTCTGTAGCTCAGACAATCCCTGCTACCTGAGTGTGCTAATCCATTCTTTCATCCATATTCTTTGTTTTTATAATTGCTATCTTTATAATAACAAACAACAGCTGTTTCGTATATAGGTTTCACATTTCATGTGTTTTTTCTTGAAAAAATGTGGTTTTGAGAACAGCGTCAGGTGACACAGCCCCTGTCAGCTCGTGTAGTGTGTGACCCCTGTCTACTATCAATCACGTAGTGTTAACGCTGTAACGACTTGAAGACTCCTGTCACAAGTCGGCCAATGCTGAAAGTCGTGTAGTCTGCACAAGCCTTAAGTGAGGGCTGCATTATTTCTTCAACACTGTGACATCTGTACACCAACCTTTGTTTATGTGGAAATTGTTCTTTACCAGAGCCAGAGCAGAACAAGCAAATACACAACAGCCAGAAGCATCAGTGAAGGTATCCATGTGCATTGGTAAAACGGCCGTCAGTATAATGCATGTTGCAGACTGTGTAGAAGACAGTGGCAGGTGAAAGTGCGACCTGTCATCTGTCCTCCAACACCGCACGCACAGATGCCATAATGAACATACCTACTGTAAGTTCTAAGTAAATGACATGATAAATTGGTTAGCTAGCTCACAATGATGTTTATCGCTTTGATGCTCTGACTTAACGAGGCGTTACAGTTTTTTAAGGAGGCATGACAGAGCACCTGCACAAGCTTGGAGAATGACGTATGACTTATGGAATTACTATAGTCATACGTCACCACCCCGTTTTAACAACTAAGCAACTTTTGCAACTTTGAGCACAAAATTAAGCTATTTGACAAAAAATATTTGGCAAACTATGTGGGTAATCAACATTGTAAGGAAATGACTCAGAAAAATATGAAATATCATAGAAATGTCAAAATACACTGAAGGGAGGCTTTAACAATATTTGACTGATGAAGCCCGCTCAAGAAGAGCTGTTAAAACACAAAACCATGTAAAACAGAACTTGTTTGTTTAAATTCTACAAATGTGAGACACTGAGTTTAATGGTAGTCCTAGAGCATTAGAACGGACACTCGTTCTAATGCTCTGCTGTTACTGTTGTATCTTCCAGAGATGGGCAGTGAGTTGCCAGGGACAGTAGCTATGCCGGGAGCAGTTGGGGCTGGCCAGGTGAGGATGGGAGGAGCCGTGCCAGGCCGTGGGGGCAAGAGGAGATCAGGAGGGTGAGTATTTTCAATGCTGAACTGCTGTGGAAATGAGCCACTACAAATATCAGGGGTTCAAAATGTTTTTTATAGCACAATCTGCAAATAGTACCCATCAGTCCCCAGAAGCTGATAGATTTTTGTTTGGGTCTATCTCACTGTCGCAGTGTTGAAAGGAACAACATGTCATTTATGATTGATGTCTGAGGAGCAGCGATAATGAGGATTGGTTTATTTTTTTTGCAGATGACACAACTAGTTTTCATGTGCTGTAGCTACAAATAATTATTTAAGTATACAGTGTACTGTGTAACGTTTGTCTAAAGCAGAGGCTGCATTAGACTTTTGTCCGTCATTTTGATTTGGTTTGTAAAATTTCCGGCATAATCTAATATTACCAGTCATCTTAGTTTAAATTTGTTAATGGTAGTGATGACATAGCCTATTGAATAGCATTTAACTTTCAAAACCAACTCCACCATACTAACATTTAATACACAGAAATGACTGATTATGCATTTCTCATGACATGGAGAGAAAAGAGGAACAAAGACACATTTCATGTTCCAGCGATATATATCCTACCAATAAAATGGCTAAAGTCAGCTAGACAACGAGGTCATGATTACTAAACAATAGCTAATTAATATGTATATTGCCACCCACTGGACTGTGGGTCTACTACAGGTGGGTAGTGACAGTGTTGCATGTGAGTTGCTAAACATGGCGGTAGATTGCCCTTTGTCTTTGTTTGTCAAAATGACGGACAACCTTCAGGTATTTCTGTCGTTGTAAAAGAATCAATGACATAGAATATTCGGTTAACGTGATCCCTGGTCTAAAAGTGTGATAGTGAGAGAGCATTGTGTATAGTAATTTACCTAATAGTAGTTGGGGTGAAGTGTCGCTAATCAGTCCCTTGAGGATTTTGTGATGTTGCGATCGTAACTATTAATTAAAGCTGCAAGCAGCATTGGGCGGGCCCTCGCACTTATAAGCGCGTCCGCGTGTGAGCCGGCCGAGTTGCATATTCTGGAGCTCTGCCGGTGCGGCTGTGAATTTGCTACGCGGTTATGACGCCGCATGAAGGTGTTATATGTCACTTCCTGTGTCCCCTATGTGGAGCTACATAGCACTTGCCGCTATGAATATAAATCGGTGTTGGCGTGTAGATGTCTGCGGGGTGGGAGAGTTATCAAGCACGTAAAGTTTGTTTCAGATGTGAGCATGTACACTGAACAATAATGTACCCAAACAATAAAATAAATTCCTTTTATATTTCCCTGCCTTGTTGTTTATGTGTACATACAGAGGAAGAATGTGAGAACAGCACACATTTCATCGTTACTGTGTGCTGTACCGCAGTTCTGTGTCCATGCATGCAGCAAACTGAAAGCACCGTCTGTCGGAGCGTCTACGTGAAAAGAGAAGGAAGACATTGCTGGTAGTATTGTCTTCAGAGTTGTTAAACACCTCAGCGCACTGAAGGAAGCCATCTGACTGTGTGAGGGGCAAGATCGTTGATGTCTGCAGGCAGAGTAGGAGCTCTCCTGTCTGACTGGTCCACCAATAGCAGAGAAGATGACCCCTTGAGACACAGCCCCTCCTCATTTGCATAATGAGGCAGAAATGCATACAAAAATTTAAAAAAGACAGGCAGAAATAAATACCATGGGTGAAAATAAATAAGGTAAATAAATACAAAGGAAGAATAAAACAGACAAAAATATTAAAACACACACATAAATAAATACATTAAAAAAATTTGTAATAAATAAAGTTGAATAAACAAATAAGGTAATTATAACAAAGGTGAATAGTAAAGGCACTAATTAAAATATATACATTTATGTCTCCTTGTATAATTTAATTACTACCTACATTTATTTATTTACTTTATTTTTTTGTGTATTTAATTGGATGCTTATTTATTTATTGAGCATTTATTTATTTCTGTATTTATTTCTGACTGTGTCAGGATCGGTCCTCCATAACGGGGTGGGAGAGTTATCAAGCACGTAAAGTTTGGTTCAGATGTGAGCATGTACACTGAAGTTACAACAACTTCCTGTGTCATGGCGAAGACTTGATCTCTGACGCCACGCCACGGACACACCCATTGACGAAAACTCGCAAATAGCACAACTTTTCATCTTCAATGCCTTTAGAAGGCACAGCACAAATTTGAAGTCGGTCGGACTAAATCCCTAGGAGGAGTTCGTTAAAGTACGAAGTGTGTAAATCATCCAAAATTTGACGTAAAATTCAAAATGGCCTACTTCCTGTTGATTTTAGGGCATCGCTCCAAGAGGCTTTTTTGTGCGTCTGGACAAGATACACGTACCACAGAAAATTCGTGCACGTAGGTAAAACGTGCGGCGGGGGCTGCTTCGTTAAAAGTCACTTCCTGTTGCCAGCAGGTGGCGCTATGACTGTCTGTGAATGTCAGCATGTACATGTGTTCAGGGCGGGACTCTCATCCTACATGTACAGTTTGGTCCAGATGTGAGCATGTACACTGAAGTTACGACAACTTCCGTGTCATGGCGAAGAGTTGATCTTTGACGCCACGCCACGGACACGCCCATTGACGAAAACTTGCAAATAGCACAACTTTTCATCTTCAATGCCTTTAGAAGGCACAGCACAAATTTGAGGTCGGTCGGACTAAATCCCTAGGAGGAGTTCGTTAAAGTACGAAGTGTGTAAATCATCCAAAATTTGACGTAAAATTCAAAATGGCCGACTTCCTGTTGGGTTTAGGCTATGGCTCCAAGAGACTTTTTTGTGCGTCTGGACAAGATACACGTACCACAGAAAATTCGTGCACGTAGGTAAAACGTGCGGCGGGGGCTGCTTCGTTAAAATTCACTTCCTGTTGCCAGCAGGTGGCGCTATGACTGTGGGTGAATGTCAGCATGTACATGTGTTCAGGGCGGGACTCTCATCCTACATGTACAGTTTGGTCCAGATGTGAGCATGTACACTGAAGTTACGACAACTTCCGTGTCATGGCGAAGAGCTGATCTTTGACGCCACGCCACGGACACGCCCATTGACGAAAACTTGCAAATAGCACAACTTTTCATCTTCAATGCCTTTAGAAGGCACAGCACAAATTTGAGGTCGGTCGGACTAAATCCGTAGGAGGAGTTCGTTAAAGTACGAAGTGTGTAAATCATCCAAAATTTGACGTAAAATTCAAAATGGCCGACTTCCTGTTGGGTTTAGGCTATGGCTCCAAGAGACTTTTTTGTGCGTCTGGACAAGATACACGTACCACAGAAAATTCGTGCACGTAGGTGAAACGTGCGGCGGGGGCTGCTTCGTTAAAGGTCACTTTCTGTTGCCAGCAGGTGGCGCTATGACTGTGGGTGAATGTCGGCATGTACATGTGTTCAGGGCGGGACTCTCATCCTACATGTACAGTTTGGTCCGGATGTGAGCATGTACACTGAAGTTACAACAACTTCCTGTTTCATTGCGAATCATCGACGCCACGGACACGCCCATTGACGAAAACGCGCAAATAGCACAACTTTTCATCGTCAATGCCTTTAGAAGGCACAGCAGAAATTTGAGGTCGATCCGACTAAATCCCTAGGAGGAGTTCGTTAAAGTACGAAGTATGTAAATCATCCAAAAATGGCCATAAAATTCAAAATGGCCGACTTCCTGTTGACTTTAGGCTATGGGTTCTTGAGGCTTTTTTGTGCGTCTTGATACGATACATGTCCCCAGAAAATTTCGTACATGTAGGTTGAACGTGAACGAGGGGCTAATCATTTCCAATTTTCTAGGTGGCGCTAGCGAGTCATTTTGCCACGCCCATGTGCGAAACTTGTAGAATACGAAATTTTTCACCGGTTCTGACATGTTTGCAAATTTTGGTGAGTTTTCGAGTATGTTTAGGCCATGTCATTTGGGCCTACTTTGCAGAAAAAAAAAAAAAAAAAAAAAAAAAAAATAATCCGAGCAATTTCAATAGGGACCTCGCACGGTCGTGCTCGGGCCCTAACTAGGGCTGCTCGATTATGGCAAAAATTATAATTACGATTATTTTGAAATCATGAATATTAACACAATTACTGATTGACTTATTGAAACATTATGCATTTATTGAACTTTTAAAATTGAAAGCGTAATTAAAACAAAAGATTATGCATTCCCCCAAATAGCTCATTTCTGCTACGTAAAATGCCACAGGCTTAAGCCAATAATGGTGACTTGCAAGTTGTAGCAATTATAACCACCATTCGTCTTGTTGGCTCCAGCTGAACTAAACATCACAGCCTGGATGACGGAGTTTGGGTTTTTAGGGAAGGGCAGGGGGCGCTACTGTAAAGTAAATGGAGCGCTGAACACAAGACAAACAAGCTTCATTGCAAAACAGCAATGCGACACAATAATCGTTTTATTTTGATCACCTTGTTTTTAAAATTGTTGGAAGCCAAAAATCGAAACCATGATTAAAATTCACAGCCCCACTATTAACACAAATCCAACACATCCCTGTGAATTTAGTGCGACTTGCAATTTTGACCAATTTCCTGCAAATTTGACCTGTTATTGCGGTTTCCTGCAAAACGTTGTCATACTTCAGCATGTCACTTTCTTGTGTACAAGTCGCAGCAGATGTGTGATAGTATTAATTTTATCAGCCATTTTAACACTTAGTCTTAATCCTGTGTCAAATGTCCTTGTTAGTTTTTGTCATATGTAGTCCACTTTATATTTTTTATACATATAAAAGTCTGGGTATTTTAGTCTGATTTTAGTTTTAGTCATTAACCATTTTAGTGTTTCTAACTAATAATAATGAATAAATAAATAATCATTTTTATTAGCATTTTGGTCAATCTGTTCCAACCAAAATAGAGATATGATTCACATGTAAGCTTTGTTCTAATTTTTATTGCAAGGAGACATTAACAATTCCAAATTCCCAGGTGGTTAGCCTTGATATGGCGTTCATAGTGTTTTTTCCAAAAATCTCATAACCACATCAGTGTGTGAAC